ATTTCATTCATTCATTCATTCATGGGAAATGGCCTCAAGTTGCATCAAGGTAAATTTAGGCTGGATATTGGGAAAATCTTATTTACAGAAAGGGTTGTTAAGCAGTGGAATAGTCCCCCCAGGGAGGTGGTTGAGTCACCATGGTGTTTAAAAACCATTTGGATGTGGTGCTCAGGGACATGATTTAGCAGAGGGTTGTTAGAGTCAGGGTAGTATGGTTGGGTTGTGGTTGGACTCGATGATCTTTAATGCCTTTTCCAACCTGAGCGATCCTATGATTCTATTATTTTTTTAATCGAGCATCTGGCAGATCAAATTAATCATGAGGTTTGATCTTATAAGGAGAAAAACCAGTGCCTCTAGTAAGTGAATGCAAAGCAGAACCAAAGTGCAGGAGCAGATAGGCACCCAGCTTGGGGACTGTTGGCGTTAATTAGGGCCGAGTGCCACTCGGTAACTCCCACTGCTTTCTGAAGGGTTCCAACTGAGCTCAGTGTCAGTAGAAATGTGCAAGGGCTGCAGGCACGGGCTCCTTGCACTGTTAGCAGTCACATTCTGGGACGTAATAAGGCGAGGATCTACTGAACAGACCATACTGCAAAATCATTTTAATTAGCATCTACACTTCTTGGAAAGCTGCCACAGATTGCAGGGAGCTGTCGGTACAAAAAAAAAAAAAAAAAAAAAAAATAACGAAAAAAACCAAACCGTCTTCAGGTGATGGCCTGAAATGGGCTGGGGCACAGCGTGTCCTTCTCAGTGCTTTCACAGCAGCCGCGCGAGCCGTTTTGCAGAGCGGCTCCGTGAGCAGCCGCGCTGCCAGAACGCGCGGCGCGGGCAGGCCGTCCCGCCACAGCCGTTGCTCGGGACGCGCGGGGCGGGGCGGTGGGGCGGCCGTTGCGGAGGGCGGGAGTTTTGAACGGCGGCGCTGCCGAGGAGGATGCAGGATGCAGCGGCGCGGGTCGGGAGCTGCGGGCGCGGAGCGGGTGAGGCGCAGGCACCACGCCGGGCTGCCGAGGAGGGTCGGGATGGAGCGGGGCGGTCGGGAGCTGTGGGGCCTCGCGCGTGTTCCTGTCCGCGTGCTCCTGTCCGCGTGCTGCCGCGGCAGCCCGCCTGCCGTACCCGCGGGGAGACGGCTGTGCGTTTGGGGGACTTGTGCGATGGGTTTCTGCTTCGCGATGTCTGGTGCGTTAGCTTAGGCTCAAGGAACGAGTCGTTGTTTCTTAGGGACAGATGCGGGCCTTGCTCAGCCTTTCTGGGCTGCGCAAAGTTGGACTGGGAATAAAACGTTGCTGTAAACTATTTTGCTTCTCCTCCTATAACGAGAGCGGAGACGGTACGGTGCTCTCCAGGGGTTGGTGCTGCGATCGCTGCTCCTTAACACCTTCATCACCAGCAACTCTGGGATCAAGTGCATTCCCAGCAGCTTTGTGGATGACACCAAGCCGTGTGGTGTGATCTGCTCAACCCCTGGGGGATGGGCGCCACTCAGAGACCTGGACAAGCCTGAGCAGGGGGCCCAGGTGAACCTGATGAGCTGCAACAAATCCCAGTGCAAGGTCTTGCACCTGGGTAGCGGCAAGCCCCACTGTCAGTACAAACTGGAGCATGAAAGGATAGAGCACTGCCCTGCCAAAAGGACGTGGGGGTACTGGTGGATGGCAAGCTGGACAGGAGCCAGCAACATGGCCTTGCAGCCCAGAAAGCCTACCGTATCCTGGGCTGTATCAAAAGAAGCATGGCTAGCAGGGTGAGGGAGGTGATCCTGCCCCTTTGCTTTGTCTGGTGAAGCCTACCTGGAGTACTGCGTCCACAGGTGGAGTCACAGAATCACAGAATGGCCAGGGTTGGAAGGGACCTCAAGGATCATGAACCTCCAACCCCCCTGCCACATGCAGGGCCACCAACCTCCCCATTTAATACTAGACCAGGCTGCCCAGGGCCCCATCCAACCTGGCCTTGAACACCTCCAGGGATGGGGCATCCACAAGCTCTCTGGGCAGCTGTTCCAGCACCTCATCACTCTCTCTGTAAAGAACTTCCCCCTGACATCCAACCTCAATCTTCCCTCTCTCGACTTAAAACCATTCCCCCTCGTCCTGCAGTTATCAACCCTTTCAAAGAGTTGATTCCCCTCCTGTTTTAGGCTCCCTTTAGGTACTGAATGGATGCAATGAGGTCACCCCACAGCCTTCTTTTCTCCAGGCTGAACAAGCCCAGCTCCCTCAGCCTGTCTTCGTATGGGAGGTGCTCCAGTCCCCTGATCATCTCTGTGGCTTTCCTTTGGACCCTCTCCACCAGCTGTCTTTCTTGTACTGGGTGCTCCAGAACTGGACACAGTACTCCAGATGGGGCCTAGTACTGAGTCCTCAGTACTGGAGAGACATGAACATGTTCGAGCGCATCCAAAGGAGGGCCACAAAAATCATACAAGGGATGAAACACCTCCCCTAGGAGGACAGGCTGAGAGAGCTGGGGCTGTGCAGCCTGCAGAAGAGAAGGCTCTAGGGAGACTTTCAGTATCTAACATAGGGCCATAAGAAAGAAGAGGACAGACCCTTTAGCAGGGGTGTTGTGATAGGACAAGGGGGAATGGTTTCAAACTAAAGGAGGGGAGATTTAGATTGGATTTAAGGAAGAAATTTTTTATTATAAGGGAGGAGGTGCATGCACATGTTGCCCAGAGAGGTGGTGGATGCCCCATCCCTTGTGATATTCAAGATCAAGCTGGACCAGGCTCTGGGCAATCTGATGGAGCTATAGGTGTCCCTGTTCACTGCAGGGGAGTTGGACCAGGTGACCTTTAAGGGTTCCTTCCAGCTCATGATTCTATGAAAATGAATGATCTGCTGGTGCCTTTCTAGGTCTTCCTCTGTCAGCTGTAGAGAATTCCAGTAGAGCTTCCATCAAAATGATGATGATAGCTTTGGAAGGCATTCACCACCAAATAGCCCACTGGTGCTGGAGGGCCTAGGCTGAAGTAACCTATGCACGTCTCAAGTGTTATGCCTTGTGATGGTGCCTTGGTCTTCATTGTGTTCTCAGCGTGCCTCTTAGTTGTCTTAAGCACAATCAAATTCAGTGGAACATATATTTGTCCTGCTTTTGCTGAATTACACAAGTCTGAGATCTTCAGCATCTCGGGGGAAAAACAAAAACAAACACTTCCTTTGTTACTTGAGGAAAACGGGAAACTGCTTATTTATGTAGGCTTAGTGACTTGCTGTGTTGAGGTATGGGAGAAGGAGATTTTGTATGGCACTTGGTCCCATTTCAACAAAAATGAAGCTGCTGTCTCTAGCAGAAGGGTTGGTAAATAGAACAAAAGGCCTAGACTGCAGAAGGGTTCTGAAGTGGCTAGAAATATAGAGTGTTACAGCTTGGGCTGTGCTGTGCTGAATGTGGCTTATGGACCAGAGCTGCTTTTCCTTTAGGGTTGGCAAATGGGGGTGGTTTGCAAAGAGAAATGTTCTGTGAGCAGATGGAAGAACAGCTGAAACATTAAGTCTCTTTAGATGATGGCATCAGGCCTTCAGAAGCAATAAAAGCCATTCCTGCAAAGACAGGAGGGAATGGCTGGTGGCTGCAGTGAGCTTCCACCTGCTGCTTGTGACTGCTATAAAGAGTTGCTTTCTCATGTCAAAGGCAGCTAATGACAGCAAGTCCCAATCAAGTAGAAAATCTGCCTCACCCCTTTCATGGGTTGTGGATTTCTCTGGTACTTGAATTGTTGGGAAATTAATTCCCTTCTATTTCTGTTCTAGTTAGAGCCAGTTGCCAGTACTTTTCTACCAGCTGGAATACTGAACTTGCAAATTCAAATTATTGTACCAATTTCAGGCAATTGCTTATAGATCTATCCCAGAGCACTTGTTTTGACATCAAATGTATAAGCGCTATATGGGTGAAAATAGATGATGTTTTCAATTCTGAAACAGTTCCCCAGTGTCAAAAAAACCCCTCATCACTGATCTGCAATGTGTTTGCAAGCCAAGTAGTACTGGGTTATCACAGTACTACTGTGATAATGTATCTTTTTTTATGTGCCAGAAATATTGTGCTTGGTCAGGGCACATCATGAGGAAAGTTATCGCATGGCATCTAGCACACCTTTGGAGGCAGCAAGCAATCAATGGTCATTCACCTTCTGGGTCAGTATGGATAGAGTTGTTTGAAATGGCAAGTGAAGAATAATGCAAATTTATGAACGTTTCTTCAACCAGGAAGAAGATGATTTCCCAGATGTTGTTATAATACATTAAAAATACTCCTTCAGAAATAGTGATGCAGTGACTGATGGACAAATTGTGCTTTGGAATGAATAATCTTTGGGAGCATGACTGTGCCATCAGGGAAGACATAGTTGTAACTTCAGCATGACACAAGCACCATCTGATCTCCAGTTCACAACCTGAGGCAATCAAACATTGGGATATTCTCCTTTTCTTCACATCTGGTTGTTACCCAAATCATATGTCAACCAGAAGTGAAAAATCATGTTTTTCAACCCTTTTCGAGGTAGCCAAAGTAGTAATAAGACAAAATTTCAGATTTAGAATATTTCAGGTATTTTGAAATAAATTACTGATATGATATTCCTGAGTGTTAAGATTATTTTACTTGAAATCATTGAAAAAAAAAAGTTATTCTGTAAGCTTTGTTGAGTTAGGCCTCACAGTGACCATATGGGAGGACCATATACTATCACCCTGTAAATGACTCATGGGACCACATAGTTTTTTAGTAAATTTCAGATGCTGTGGTGAACTGCTGTTAGCACATGGTTTGAAATCTGCTTGCATAATGTATATATCAAATCAGTTTGATAATGTTCTCTTTTGTGTGTGAAGAGAGAATTGTTTTGTGTTTAGTAGTAACTGTAATGGCTGCATATAATTTAACTAGGACTCTGGATCCCAACTGTATCATAAATAGGACTCCTTAAAAAGTCAGGGTACTGTCAGTTGGATTTATGTGTTGTCTTTGTTGTTCTTATCTAGCAACACAACATCCAAGAAAAGATGAACTTTGAAATCCGCATACGGGAAGGCATCCGTAAACTGCTTACAGTGAGCACACAGAAAGACCAGCTTTTGCAAGCAGTTAAAAACCTGATGGTCTGCAATGCACGGATACATGCATACAGGACAGAGCTGCAGAACCAAATGGAAGGGCCTGTCTCATGCAGAACTGGAAAGTGGTGAGTAAAAACTAATTCAAACCGAGCATTACAAAATGGGCTTTTGTGTATGTGAATTGTTTTCCACCATACACATGCATGTTGTTGCTGTAAGTCAGTGCTTTATAAGACCATTCCAATATCTTCCTTTAATTTTAGGAAATTAAATGTGAGTCATCTTTTTCTGGACAGATTTTATCATTGACATTAAGCAAATTCAGCTTATGAATATCAGCTAATGTTATAGACATATTTTCTAGATTACCTTTAGCATATAAAAAGGTATCTAACCTGTTCTTAAGGAACAAGACAAAATTATCCCAATCAAAATACATGCATCTGTTTTTTGTTCTTTCTATTCATAAGGTCTCTTTAATGACAGAATTATCATGGCTAATTGGTACCCTCTGCTGGCCACTTTGTTAACTACATCAAAAGAGTAAAAGTACAACTTCATGAATAGTAAGAAAAGTCTGTTTAATTACCCATATTCTCATGTTATATTTCTTGAATGAACTAACGTATACACTGTTTATTTGGATAAGTGTTTTATTTTTTTCCCCAATGGAATAGATTTTGGAGGCCATGTTATGAATTGTGGAGCAGAGACACTACTGCATTCAGGTTATTGCTTTAATGAAATAACTGTACTGCAGTTCAGTGTAGAAACTCCTCAAGTACATGCTTAGCTCCAGTGAATTGTATCTGTAGGAATAACCTGCTAGTTTCTTGCTTTCAGAAATGTTTTATTACAGAAGAAATTTATTAAAGGAGAGAATTGCATTTTCTTGACTGTCAACTGTGGTCATGAAAGTTGATTTTGAAAGCTAGCATTGTGATTTGTATAAATATTACAGTTGTGTTGCTTCTTCTTATGAAGTGATGATCTTTATAGTGATTTGTCTGATATTTTTAATGGTGGATTGACATGGAATATATATGTGTGCTGATTTACACGACTCTTGGTCTTTATTGTCTGTGACCACAGGATGGCACATGTCTATAACACGGCACGGAAACTTAGAATCATTTAGTTTGGAAAAGACTTCTAAGATCATCCATCCTGTCCAACCACCCACCTACCACCAATATTGCCCACTAAACCATGTCCCTTAGTAGCAAGTCTACACGGTTCTCGAACGCCTCTGGGGGCAGTGACTCCACCACCCCTAAGGCAGCCTGTTCCAGAGCCTGACCACTCTTTCAGAGAAGTTTTTCCTATTTTCTATCCTGAACCTCCCCTGGCACAGAGTGAGGCCGTTCCCTCTTGTTCTATCACTACTTGGGAGAAGAGGCCGACCTCCACTTTGCAACAACCTCCTTTCAGGTAGTTGTGGAGGGCAATAAGGTCTCCCCTGAGCCTCCTCCAGTCTAAACAAGCCTGGTGGAGTTTTCTTAAAGTTGTCTGTGTTGTTTAATTTGCTCAGCTTGGAGCTGTGTCTTTATGGGGTCCTTTCAGTAGTCAGCAAAGATCGTTAGGACAGATACATGTCGTAGGGTTGTTTGTCTATCATTTAGATCTTATCTTTGATTGTGCACTTGATAGTACACTCACAATTCTTTCTTTTGGTACTTATAGAGTACTGGAATTTTATTAAAACTTAATCCAGAGAAGATGATGATGTCTGAGAGAGAAAATTCTGGAAGTGTTTTGGGCTTTCAAATAAACATTGTCCTTCTTTCTTACATCTGCGATCTGTTATTTCTGACAAAGTCATGATACAGGTAGTGATTAGAACCTGATTCGGTTAGGCACTTTGAGCAGTGGCAGACAGAAGGATTTCAGTTAGTCATTATCAGTAGATTATTTTGATTCAATTTAAGGTTCAGACTGAGATTTGCACTCTAGCCATTCTAGCCTGCATGTAAAACCACAATTCTAACAACATGTTTTGTAATTGGTCTCTGTTAATAGAGGAGGACGCATTTCTCTGCAACCAACAGTAGGACCAATAAATGAAGCTGCTTGTTCGTTCGTGTGTACAGAAGGAGAATAGTTAATAATGTATTTGATTCTGTTGGAGCTGTAAAAGGCATCAAAGATGAATCGACTTCTAATTTGTGGGTTAAATAAGCTTTGGAATAAAATCTTGTAGGGCATTAAGAAAATTGATGGTGTACCTTCCTTCCGTATTATCTTCGAGCATCTAATAACTCGTATCCTAAAGCAGAGAGACCGAATTTAACTTTAAAGAAAATTCTTTGAAATGAGCTATTATATGGTACCCCTGATGTTTTTTAATGTTTAAAAGACTGAGTTACAGTGACCTAAATGCACAGATCTCTGACTTTTAAAAATCTTTTTTCTTTTTTCCTATTTTGACAGGTTGTCAGGCGCTGGGACAAAGGACCGGATGGCATGTAGAGCAAAAGTTGCTCTCTCAGGTAAGTGGCTGGGTTGTCGCTTCACTGTAGCAGCCAACTGGCAGGGTAGTATCTTGTAGTAAAAAATTACACAAACATGATGATATTTTTTTAAAGTTATATTGTGATTCTGAGGGCATAAATCCTCTTGAGCTTGAAGTTGTCTTATGCTTTGAAGTCACAGACTTGCTTATGAAGATCCTACCTCACATTCCTAGTTTTCTGTCAGGGACTTTCACAGTGGGAAGTGCTTTTTATTTTCAATCATTAAACACTGGACGCACTTCAAAGCTAAGCGTAAATGAACTGAATGTGCTGAACTGCTCTCCCCAGCCCCAAATTTGTAAGGACCTAATGAACTGAGGACAACATTGTAGCAACTATGCAAATCTTCTTTAGTTAGTGTGGGTAACTTCTACAGTAAATGTGCAGCAGTATGGCTTCAATGCAAATAAAGAACATTTATTAGTGATTTCTGGCAGGATGGTACACAGTTTCCTAGCCTGTTAACAGACTTTTGAGCTATGAGTTTGTCACTTTGTTTATCTGTGCTGTGTTACTCATTACGTTTGCTCTGGTAGCTTGGCTAACAGATCTGTGCTCCATGACCTGCTGCATTGAAGATAAAACAGTGTAGAAGGGCTCCCTACTTCGAAGTGTTTAAGTTAATTCTGCATGTTTTGACATATCTTTAAGAAAGGTAACCTCTAGTGGAAGAAGAGTGATGATCACATGGTACAGTAATGTTTTCTGCCAGCACAGCTGTTGCAGACTGTAGATCTATCTGTCTTCCTTATGGTAGTAGGGTGAAAGCATCTGTCTGCCTTTCTGTGCTGTGGTTGTACCTGTCACTGGATTTATAGTTATCTGCTGTGAAGGCTTCTAAGATAACACACTTCTGTTATCTTGAGAACATCAGAATTACAAAATTGTTTGGAAGTGAAATATTTAGCTAGTTTTGATGGTACAAGAGGATACTTGCTGTTATGTGTGATCTTTTAATTATTTTGTTGTGTTACTAATATGGTGGTCCTCAAATTGAAGATTGTGATCCTGAGGAACACAGCATGGATCGTGGTGAAGAGTATCAGCTACCTCTTTCTGAGCTTGAATCTGTGAGCGCTGGGATGCTGCCAGGCCTCATCCCTCTTTTCGTGTCAGGGACCCTGGTCAGGTACAGCTTACATCAGAGAAGCCTGTGTGATCCTGCTTAGAGATTTACGTCTTTTAAAGATCATCTGTGAACTTCTTGTTTTCCACTCCGTGTCTGGAAAGCAGAGAACTAGGGTACGTGAGAAGGGACTGTGCGTTTGGCAAGGGCCTCTGGGCACAATTTCCAGTTGGGAGATCCTGGCACGGCACACACACCTCCCTGCTTCCTCCTTGCGTTGTCTTATGACTCTTCATCTTGTGCCTGGTGAGCACGCCGGAGCGGGTCCTGTCTGCTTCAACAGCTGTAATGTTCCATCATTCCCTGTCTTTCCCATTGTTTGTGTAGGGAATTGAACGTACCGCACTTCTTCTCTTTTGTGTAGTGGTCCGCCATGGATTTGCAATTGGAGCTGCCCAGCACGTTCAGAAGGCACACATGCATGTTTGTGTGCCTGCCCTGCCGAGAGAGCGGTTGTGAGCACAAACAGCTTGAATTGCAAGGTGTAAAGACTGAATTGGCTGGGAGAAGTTGGAGATGAGGCGTTGGTGGTAATTATGTGTCTAGGCACGAAATTTGAGAATTGATGATAGGAAATAGATTTTTTTTCTTTTTTTTTTTTAGGGGAAAGTAATCCATCCATGTACATTATTGTCACGTGGTTAGTGTAGGTTAGAAGCTTAGGCTGTTACCAAAACAAAGAGTGATCATGTGGCCAACACCAAAAGGTCAGGAGCAGCTTTGCAAGAGCACTGAAGAGTGTACTCTACAGGAAGCAACTACCAGTACATCAGATACTAAGTGGAATACATTCCCTAAGACTAACATTTTCATACTTACCCCCATGTCTGTGAACAAATTATGACGTTTGTGTCTTACCAATCATTTGGGGGTATTGATTGATACTTGGCTGAACATGAGCTGACAGTGTGCCCAGGTGGCCAAGAAGGCCAATGGCATCCTGGCTTGCATCAGAAACACCGTTGCAAGCAGGAGCAGAGAAGTGATTGTTCCCCTACATTCAGCACTGGTGAGGCCGCACCTCGAGTACTGTGTCCAGTTTTGGGCCCCTCACTGCAAGAAAGACATTGAGGCCCTGGAACGTGTTCAAAGGAGGGCAACAAAGCTGGTGAGGGGTCTGGAACACAGGCCATAGGAGGAGAGGCTGAAGGAGCTGGGAATGTTCAGCCTGGAGAAGAGGAGGCTCAGGGGAGACCTCATTGCTCTCTATAACTTCCTGAAGGGAGCTTGTAGTGAGCTGGGGGTCGGCCTCTTCTCTCGTGTCATTAGTGATAGGACCAGGGGGAATGGCTTCAAGCTACGGCAGGGGAGATTCAGGCTGGACATGAGGAAGTATTACTTTTCAGAAAGGGTGGTCAGGCACTGGAACGGACTGCCCAGGGAGGTGGTGGAGTCACCGAGCCTGGGGGTGTTCAAGGAAAGGCTGGATGTTGTGTTGAGGGACATGGTTTAGTGGGAGCTATTGGGAATAGGTGAACGGTTGGACTGGGTGATCTTTTAGGTCTTTTCCAACCTTGGTGATTCTATGATTCTATGATTTACTTTGTCAGAAGACAACCCATTCAATGTTGATCAAAAAGCATAATCATAATTTAAAGTTATTCCGTGGAGTTCTAATGAATGTCAAAAGGAATCATTCTCTTTAAGAGTAATTAACTGTAGTGCTTGAATGTATCCAATTTTAATCCATGGGGCTTTACAGCTAATTGTAACTGAAGTTAAGAAGTGTGAAAATCGATCGCTGTTTTTGATAAATTGCAGCTTTTTCAATCCAAGAATGAATTGAAAACTGATTTACAAGTATCATCTGAAACTTGTAGATGCCATTGTCTACCTAGGTGCTGGTGGTTCTTTCACTGAGGTGTAGATTTTTCAGTTAGTATGACATTGAGTGCAGCATGAAAAAGCAGTGTTTACTCTATTGCTCTAACTGTTAACAAGAACTATCAAGTGCCTTAAAATTGTCATTTGAGGTTTGCTATAAACAAGGATGCAAAATGGTTTTTCTTGCAGTTCTTTACTGCTACATTTATGCAAATTTAAGACCTTTTATGTTTTAGGAAAGAAAAGTTCAGTACTTTTTCTATGACGTATATCTATATTTATTACATCTACATATATGTATGTGGAGTTTGAGAGACTTCTGCAGCAGCTGTTTTAAGGAAAGCATTTTTTGTCTATTTCCTTATTCTAAAAATATTTAAAGGCTTTAAAAAATGCTTGCTATGCAAATGCATCTTTAGAAAGGTAGTTTCAGAACAGGGTGATGCATTTTTTGGGGTTTGGTTTTGTTTTTAGGAAGCTGTGGCAGTCTAATGCTACATACTAACAGCTCATTGTTGAGAAGTCATTAGATGCTGTGAACATTTTCAAAACTAGATGTATTTGTAAGTTTCACAATTGAAATTTAATCTATAATGAGATGTTCATAATATAATCAAAATTAGCTTAAATTAAAACATTTTATTTAATATTACTTATGAAATAGGACTATATGTAGCTTTACTTAAGTCAACTAGTTGTGTGCATAAAACCCAGCAGGAATACCTGGCAAATAATCCGTTGCCAAAATAGCACTGCTGTTTTGCATACTGTATGTGGATTTTTCCATTCGCCTTCTGTGAAGATAAACACAGGAGTCAGCAAAGCTCCCGCATAACAATATTAAAGATTTTTATCAGTGGACAACTGAGGTATTGCTGTTCACTGCTGCCATCCTGTGTCACTTAATATATTGCATGTGCTTTTATACAGCATTGTGCATTTGAAACCAGCTTTGGATTTAATGAGGCCTCACTGCATTTATCTTTCAAGAAGGAACCAGTAAGGAATGTTGTCTAAACTTGTGCCCTCAAAGCTGGGGAAAAATATCATAGAATCATAGAATGGCCTGGGTTGAAAAGGACCACCGTGATCATCTGGTTTGAAACTCCCTGCTACGTGCAGGGCCACCAACCAGCAGACCAGGCTGCCCAGAGCCACATCCAGCCTGGCCTTGAATGCCTGCAGGGATGGGGCATCCACAGCCTCCTTGGGCAACCTGTTCCAGTGCGTCACCACCTTCTGGGTGAAAAACTTCCTCCTAATATCTAACCTAAGCCTCCCCTCAGTCTCAGTTTAAAAACATTCTGTACAGGAGTGGGTAGGTAAAGTGGAAAGCTTGTTGAAGAAGATACTTTCCTAATGTTAAAATGGCAGGTGACTTAAATTAATGTTTCTGTAATTGCCTCTCTACTACGATCCTGATGCAGACAGATATTTTTTATGTAAGCAAACAAACTGCAGTCTTCTAATGTCAACTGAGACAATTTTAACTAGGAACATGATTACAAATAATATTTTCTCTGTGGTTAGTAAAACAAGACTTCAGTGTTTGCAATACAAGTATCTCAATCTTTCCATTAAAACAGGAAGTTTTTCTTCTGGCAGTTGGATGAGTGGTTTCCAGCACCAGATGAGCAGAGTTTCAGCTTGTCTTTGCGTGATTGTGGACTAAAATACCTCTCATAACTATGCTAAACAGCCACTCTGAAATGTTACTTTTAGGTCCTTTCAAATGAGATTTAAAGAAGTCTTTGTTCTAGCACAATTTATAAAAGAAAATGACATTTCAAATAGAAATTATTGATGTATATGACATTGGTAATAAAACTGAAATAGTTCTACTGTTCATTGTGTAGACAGCCCTATTGCCACCAGATCAACATGAAAAGAAAAAAAAATTTGTATTTAATTTTACACTCTGTTGTACGATATTACCTGTAACTTAATTTCCCTGTTTTTTCCCCCTTTAGATATTCGAATACCATTAATGTGGAAAGACTCTGATCACTTCAACAATAAAGAAAGTACGTAAGATCTAATGAACTGCTATGATAATCAATTAGTTAAGCCTGTAAATTGAAAACTGGATGGAGAAGTCCATTCTGATCTAAATCTGATTTTTTTGATCTTTCAGTAGATCTGTGTCTTACTGTAGCTTGGTAGCTCTTACCTTGGTGCTGTCGACTGTAGCAAGTTGAGAAAGTTCAAAGTCATATGGCAGTATGTTTAAAATCTTGTCTTTCCAGAGGTGAGCCTCCAGAGGAAGAGTAAGGATAACATTATTAACTAAATAGCTGAGAAACTTCCAATTAAACATGATATTCTCTCTCTCGTCTACACTCAAGAGAGTAATATTGAAGGCTGTTTCTAGTGGGAAATTTAAGTGAAAGTTCTCTATTGCTTTTGAGTGGATTATTGGATAGTCTTCAAGTACATGCGTTTTGCTGTGTCATGGAGATTAACCCTAAATCTGTTCCAGCTGTCACCTGGCATTGATTTCGGTTTGATTTTCAATAGGGTCAGAGGGGGTAAGGCTGGCAAAATGGTCTAATCCTATATAGTTCATTCAAAAAGTGATACAGATGTTGGATCAATTCTCTTTTTGCCTTAAATCAATTTTATTAAACAAAATTACATCTCTACTAACATTTCTGATGCTGTTAGCACGAACTGCCACAGGTTATCTTGCAAAAAAAAAAAAAATTGAGCAAAGGTAGGTGTGTGAATGTGGAACCCATGCACTAGCTTTGGAAGTTCAATTGCTGTGAAATCCCATAATGTGAAATTTAGGGTGGGAATAATTTGAGGGCAGTTCCTTAGAGGCTCAAATTTCCATTCCTTCTCTGTTGTTTACTGGGGGCATTAAGTATTGTGATGTGTACTATGCTAATAAAGCATTTCTTTGGCTCTCTCCAGAATCACAGCGCTATGCAGTGTTTTGTTTGTTCAGAATGGGAGCTGAGGTTTTTGATACAGAGGTGGCAATTGTGGATAAAGCAATAACAGATATCTGTTTTGAAAACGTAACCATATTGTGAGTATAACTTATCTGTTGCATGGAGTACAAGTATCCCTGTTTTCTTTTGAAAGTGGGTATGATTATGAATATGATTGGCTGAGGTCCTCTAAATTTTTCTGTGGGCAAGAGGAATCTGTAACGTTTCTGTTGATTTCAGTGGTTGGTGGATCCCTCTCTCTGGAAGGTTGTGGGTTTTTTTCACGTGCACGATGATCACAGCAGTAGATGCATCATTTAACTGTTGCTTTCAGGTTTTTTTTTGCCATGCTGAAACATTTTTCTTTAAATAAAGAGATTAGCTTGTAACTCAAGGACAAAAGTACACCAATGCTAAAAACTGGAAGCACTATAAAAATGCACTTCTGTAGGCATGGGTGTTACACCCAGTGTTTTAACCATTACTCTGTAGAGCAGGCTATGGTCTCTTCTGATGTTCCCCAAAGTCACTGTTCTCTTGAAATCAGACATTTGTCTTCCACACCTCATGTTCTGTTACGCTCTTATGAGCATGTGCTACAGCTACAACCCTCATAGTTGAAGAATACTAGACAGGAAATTATTCACTTATCTTTAAATATAACCTAGAAAAGAATAGAAAGGTGTTCACATATACTTTTCTGTTGCTCTGTAAATTTTTAAGAGTCTTCAGAGACAGTTTATTATTTCTGTGAGGGTTGTGTTGGTTGTTTTTTTATGTGTGTGTGTGTGCTGCTTTATTTTTTATATTAGCAATTTAGATTCAGTCTCCTGAGGAAGACTGACTGGAAATCTAGAACTACTGAAAACTTTAAATCAAGATCTTAAAAAGTGAGTAGTTGAGAGAGCATGGATCTGTAAATCAAACTTTCTTAACACTTGCTCAAGTTTAGAGTAAGGGCAAGAATTTAAATCTGCTTCTTGAAAGATACATCTGTTCTTGGAGAATTTACCATTACAATTTTCTGTAAAATAATGCAGCAGAAGCACTCAAAATTCCCTTGTGTGCCCACAGATAAAGAATAAATTCTTTAAAAGCCTTTGGGATAATTTCCTTATGAATATGTAGTGAAGGATTTGTACCAGGAAGATGAGGTTAGGCTTCTAGTTTGATGACTCAGCTCGAGAACGTTGAGAGCTGGTAGAACTGAAAAGAGACAACAGGGAGTGGGCAGAAGAACGCAGCAGCAGATAGATACTGTGAATATCAAATTTGTCGCTTGTGATGAGGTAGGATTTAGTTTTCTCCTAATCCAGAGGGGGCGGGTGCGACAGTTCGATCTGATTTGGGATCACAGGCATGATAGGTTTTCAGTCGTGTTATTTCTGCAAAACAGTAGAGGGCAGATTGAAGTGTGCTTATATGCCTTGCCTGTGTATTTCCATCACATGAGCGGTGTGGGTTTTTTCTCCAGTTTTTAACCTAAACGTTGAATTTCCTGTTTGCAATTGTTTATGGTTTAATTATAACATCCATCTTGTGACTTCAACACTAAATTACCACTGTGTACTCTAGCCTTTAACTCCATTTTAATGTATGTCCTTCCCTGAATCTGATGTAATTCCTTCCCTTGATTAGCAATACATGTTATTTAATAAATGTATTGTAGCAACAGCATTCCTTGGCTAGGTGCTCAATTCACTAACAACTGCTGTGAAACTTTCTCCCCACCCCCTTCAGTGATGAAGCAGGACCAGATTTCCAGGTGAAGGTTGAAGTGTATAGTTGCTGTACAGAGGAGTCTTTATATGTAGCAAACACCCCTAAGAAACTAGTAAAGAAGCTTAAAACATCCCTCAGCAAAGCTACAGGGAAGAAACTCAAAGCTACGCTGGAAGAAGACGGCACTGACTCCATTTTGCTCTCTGACCCAGTCATCCAGTAAGATACACAGATGGGTATTCTGGTTTTACTGTACTTTTTCATAGAAACAGCCCAAAGACATTGTCAATATTTGGAAAGGTACCAAGAACGCGATTATTTATGTATTAACCAGGTGGAAAAGAATTTACATTTTAAATAGGAAATGAGAAAGTAGGTGTGAATTCCAGCTATGTAGCTCAGCCTGGGGCCCAGTTCTGATCTTTAAACACATGAGTAGACTATCTTTCTTCTACACAGCTGGTAAATCCACTGTTATTTGCAACTCAGGAGTACTTCAGTTTGATCTCTGGAGAAAATGAAGCTTGTGTGATGTCTGTGGCCCTCCATCTCGCCCTTCTCTTCCCCTATCCCGTTCCCTCCATGTATCAATTTTGCACCCAGGCAGTTTTGCTTTTCAGAATGGTAGACATTTCTAAAAGGTGCAGGTTCTGTGAAGTAACAAACGTGTGTGGGCAGGGGAAGCCCCTCGTACAGCACTTCCCCTAGTGAAGCTGACAGGGCTGTTGCGCTGTGTTGTGTACACGGGGGCTGTTCTGTTTTCTGGCTTTTCAGCAAGTCTCTGGGCTGGCTGGGGCATTTTACAATTACTTGCTGCTTAACAGGAGTTTCCTTAATTGACTTCAGCACAGAACATTTTGAAATGACTTACGATTTTCCATTTTCATAGAAATAAATGCTTTTCTCAGTAATTCACCTGTGTTTCCTTTTAAAAATGATCTTAAGTCTTTCATGTATTTTTAATGAAGTGAACTGCCTACTAATATTTCCCAACTACTTTAATTTCATTGTGACTTAAGCAGCCCAAGTACCTAAATTGTAACTACCGCAAAATTGACTTTTTTAATGTTTATTTTTTTAAGAAAGTAAATATTACTTAAATTACTTCAAATATTGCTTTTTTCTTTCTTTTTTTTTTTTTCCTGATGGCTCAGTAGCAGAGAATCCACGTACAATTTTTTGCCACATTTTGAGCAAAAGTCTTAGTCTTGTTTTGTACATCTGTTTGCCCGGATTATAAAAGAAAAGGTTAATTCATAGTTTATCTATGTTGAGCTAATATTGCTATACGCTAATATTAGTGTTCCGATGAAAAACAGACATCCAAGATGTCTTAGCCACAGAGCAAGGCAGTTTTACTGCTAACATTAGAGTACCTTCCACCTCATGACAGTGTTTCTCAATATGCATCATGTCAGGTAGATATGCTTCCCTCAAGCTCTGGCTGGCTGATGACATGCTGCCATAAGGTGCAGTTGGCTTCACATATAACCACAGGCTTATTTGTTGGCCGTGCTCACTTGAATACAGATCGTCTGTCTTTTAAGGAGAAAGAATTAGTAGGCAGTCCTCACTATTGCCCCCTCCCTCATTTGGGTTTTGCTTTAGGTTTCTCAACTGTAATTTTTTGTATTTTACTTTCTCCCATCTTGAAAGCATTTTTTTTTTTTTCCCTACCATAAGTCATCATCTCACCGTGGCTGTTAATTTCTTACCAGAATTGAATTACTAGTGATGTGTTTACTAATGGCTTTGCTAGGTGATTAAAAAAGATTATGGGGAACAAATGTCTTACTACAGGCTGAAAATAAGTTGTCTTTTTTTTTTTTTTTAATATAGCCTCCCCTTGAGATTTATATTATTAAGACCATGGTAATGTAGCCCTTAGAGGTGAGCAGATTGCATCTTTCAAGTTCTCAAAGAATTATCCGGGTCCAGTCTGTGAAATTAAACCACAACAATAAAAAGGGAACTTGCTGTATTTTATGAACACTTTTGCTCTGTAGATTTCATCTGTATCAGCTGTTTCCTCTCAGAGCACACGTGGGATGAAGTTGTCCCTTTTCCAGAAATTCTGTGATCCTCCCGTGCCAAATTTCTTAGCTTAGAAGTTAGAAGGCTCCCTGTCAGCCTCGTAACTTCTCATAAAAGCTTGATGACAAACTGTTTTAGATGGTTGCTTTATTTGTTCGTATCAGCTATACTGATACTCTGTCTGCTCTTAATTATCTTTTTCCATTTTTTATGCAGTCTTTTGCCTACTTCATTTTTTCTGTTATTATTATTATTGCATTTGTCATAGGAGAAGGACATTCAGTGCAGGTATGGTACTGATTTCCAGAAGTTGCACTTTGGAGACGTGCATGTTCTGTGAGCTGGCAGTACTGGCCTATGTGGGGACTTGCTGCTGGGGCCTCTGCTGAGTTGGAGATCTGGCTTCTGTATGCTATGTTTGGAAATTCACATTGATATTTTGCTAGAAGTACGTATTCTAACCTAATGGCCTCGTTTTTATTGCTGGGTTCTTTTTAGGACCTGATGATTATTTTTGTTTTTACCTTTTGTTATATAAGATGCAACTGGAAGCTATGCATATTGGCTGTTTTGACTTGCACAACCTCCACTCTGTGTCTGGATGAGTGGAATAAGATAGGATTTCTAACATTAATATTCAGGAACAGCTTCTGGAATCTGAGCTGTATGAATCCAATATGCATTGATAGGAGGGGTGAGATAGTTACATTCCCCCCAGTGTCTGCACTCCAACATCAGTGCTGCTGCCACTCGATGGGCGACAGGTCGAACTGTGAGCCTTCCCCACGCTGTATGAGATGCAGTGGGCAGATTGTTCTTTGTTATTCAGACAAGCTGCCATGTCAGGCAGTCAGCTAATTCTGTCACATGTACAGGCAAAACATACTCAGTAATCCTGATCAGCTTGTTAAATATAAAATATAGATGCAGATAACTTTTCTAAATTATATTGAAGTTGGCTAAAAGGGATGACTGTTCTGTTTTAGAAAGAAAGTATTACTGGGAAGCATATTTTAAAAGTGAAGTAGCTGTTTTCTTGGCAAGGTTGTTGTGGTAATTAGTCATGCTTTAGAAAAATAACTAAATCAGCACAGAAGTTTTATCCGTGAGAAGAAACTGAACTGCTTTGTACCATTTAAATAGAGTGGTAATGCTTAACTGAATAGCAAAACATAATCAGCAGGGAATCTTTTGTTAGGGAATGGTCTACAGGGAATATATACAAATGTTGATGAGTTTTTGTTCACATTCCCCTCTGAATGTTTTATAGAAGTGGTTCTTTGCCCAAAGTGCTATATCATATTTGCTTTTCTATTTATTGCTTTGAATTAGATGTGTAACAGACCTCCCTGCTAATCTTCTGTCTCCTCTCTTTCATTAGGGTCAGAGCTGGATAGCATCTGATTTTAAAACTGTGTGCCCTCTGCTGTTAGAAAAATTAACACTGGAAAGTATTAGTATTTATTTTCTAGTGATGTCAGTTCAGTAGTGTCTTAACATCTTCTATACCACTAAGATATCTTATGCTATACAGAAGGTTTTTAAAGGATTTTATGCTCAATTCTGTTAGAGAAAGCAATTAGTGATTCTAAGTGGTTTGTTTTCGTGTGAACTTTTTTTACACTGCCATTAGCCAGGTGGAATTCTTACTGCATTGCTAGACTGTAAATCTGTTACTTTGTATTAAGAGTATTTGGGGAAAAAGGTTAAACATGCACCACATTTATACTAGTTTATTCCAAGAGCTGCATTCCACATGCACTGTGCTGAATTGCAAATGTGATTTTTTTTTTTTTTCCCAGCTTTTTTTCCCCCCCTAGGCAAAATCTAAACCAAAGATACAACGCTGTGATACCTGTAAGCACAATAAGTGAAAGAGTCCTTTGTGCCACAAAACTGGCTGTAGGATTTCTACAGATTTCTTCTGCTATACGCAAAGAAACAAACTATTGGATACTATTCTGTATAAGTGTGTGCATAACCACTTTTATGAAGTCTACAGCCAAGGCAAAAGAGCAGAGCAGCCTGGAAAAGCAGTATAGATTTTAATTGTGAAACTTGTGTTTTCAGAGCAAGTTCATCACCTGTTTTTCTGTTGCCTATAGGATACATTTTTGCACTCATTTCTGAGTTAGGCCTAGGGTCAAAAGCTGCAAACCTATCAAAAGTTCCTTGGTGTCTGAGTAGAGAAGAGAGCTGCTGTTAGTGTCCTTGGGCTGCAGGAGGCTTGGAAAGCACAGGCCTTGTGTCTGGGGTTGCCAGTGCAGATAGGCAGCAGGAGGCACTGCGCTGATGGGGCTCTGTGGCGTTGGCCTGGAAGTCACGGGGTGGGAGGAACCGGAGGTGCTGTGCGGGGCAGAGGCAGGAGGTGAGGATGTGGCCATCAGCTGAGCATGCTGGGGAGCAGTTCTGTGGGAAGGGGCTGGGGGTGGCAGCCTGTGGCCACGGACAGCTGCTGCCTTGCATCTCGGCATGTCCCTGTAAGCAGATGTGTTATCTCGGGCATCCATAGGCTCCCTCTAGTTACTGTCTATACAATACAAAGCAGAAATGACTTAAAACGTGCCTTTTTTTTCCACATTTAGTGGAGCAAAGTACAGTTTGCTAGCATCTACCACTTTGGGGCTGGAGAGTGCCAAGGACAGTTTCAGGACCCACAACCTTACCATTACAGGAAATGGTAAGTACATATGGTAGCAATTTAAGGAAATAAAAACCCAGTAATATTTTGCATTTCTCTTGTAAAATAAGAGTTTAAAGAGATTATTTTTCTTGATACTTAATATAGAACAACTTAAACAAAATATTTAACTGTTCTAAAACAAGCATCTATATACAGCTGAGTAAACTATAAGTTGAGTGCAATTTCAAGTCCAGAGGAAAATTTAATTCATTTGGGAGTTTCTTCTGTTATTTGCATCTTGATCTTAAGTGAGTTGTACCCGTGTATACAAACTATTTCCCCCTTTCTCACAACTAAGGGAGGGTATTGGAGCAAAGAACAGCTTTTTTCTCTGTAGTCGAAACAAAAGTGTATTTAAAAAAAAGCAACTTAATTTGAGCAGGACACAGGACAAAAACGTGCACTTGCGATTTGCCTTGATAGCTGTATTTCAGCTGTGGGACACCCAGGTTGCTGGTAGTAGTCAACCAGGATGCCAGCTTGGTGATTATGCTGCAACTGTAGGTGATATTTCAAGAAACTGAAGTACAGTTCTTTGTACTTCATCCGTGTTTCCAAAACTATCGTCCTTCCTGCAATCCACCCTTCAGTCCTCCTCGTTAAATTAAGATGTGCAACTTTGTATTTCACTCACTTCTGGTAACTTCATTTTTTCACATGGGTAAACTTGACCTGAAAAGAAAATTTGATTATTTACACTTCATTATTCTGAATAAGCACAGACGGAGCATTTGTTTCTCAACAGGTTAGAATAATTCTGTGTATCTTCGATGCTAATTTCTACTTCACATTCTTGTTTTATTTCATTAATGTGCATAACTCACTCTGGTGAGGAATTACATACCTGGATATTTTGTTTCATTACAAGCATTTCTAAACCATGACTAAAGACAGAGTAATGTCAATGGAAAGTTGCATTACCTGCTTCTAATTACAGAAGAGCATGTTTTTTACATGGCGAAACTGAGCAGTTTTTTTCTAATTCCTTGGAATCATGAATGCTTTTCTAGTTGCATGACAAGACAGCTACAAATTCTGTCTTAAAAACCAATCTGAAGCAAAATGCTTACATGTAAGAAGTCACATGCCGTGATGGGAAGTGCTTAGGAATCCTACTTAGATGAGGTACCAAAGTGATTACCTTCCAAAGTGGTATAGAGGTGTTGTTGTTGTTTTTGTAAGAATAACTTGTTCTTGCAGAACAGTATTTCTGTTTTTATTTAAATCCTTTTAGAACTTCTGATAATTTTTGATAAAAAACTTACTGAAGACTAAGAATCAGTTTTACTTTAATCCTACAGGATGAGATCTCTTTTCTTACATGTAAAGAATGCTTACTCATATTCATGATCTGAAAGTAAAGATGAGTATTAAAAGCTAAACTGTATTTATGGGAAGTATTCAGAACTCTGAATACTGAATACTCTTTTTTTTTTTTTTTTTTTAACCTCTTTCTGTCTTTCTTATTTTTTCTTTTTTCTCCTGTCTGCTCCTTTCCCCCAGAGGAATCTTCTTTTTGGCTCCCCCTGTATGGAAACATGTGCTGCCGTTTAGTTGCTCAGCCTTCCTGCATGGCTAGAGATATGATGACAGGATTTCTGAATCAACAGGTAAAAAAAGGTCTTGCTTGTGTTTCCATGCTCTTCTGGTAGCAGTCACCAACAGTCCACGGTTCAAACATTTCTGTTTTTCCCAGAGTGGTTCCTTCTTCCCTGTTCTGCCTAGAGCGAGGGAGGACATCTCATAGTTACAGTTTACAAACAGCATCGTCAGTGGCTAAGAATCAATAAATCAATGTTTTCTTGGTGTGCTTATCAATAAAGCTATTTGGGCTGCTAGATACAGGTTGAGTTGTTTCAGAATCTGTTTATCCTGGCACTTAATAGCAGCAGTCCTAACGGTCTCTTGGCTTTTACCCTCATACGTGTCACTCACTGTCTTAGCATGGTGAACTGAGCGGGGAGCAGCAGTTAAACTCATCCCTCCAAAAGCAATTACTGTGAGCTCACTTTACTTCTCTGTTCTGATTCATTGCACAACTAGGCAAACAAGAAGGTGTGAGCAGAGGGCTGAAGGCCACCAGACAGGAGTGCCACGTTGTAGGCTCTGGTCTCATGAAATTAAAATGTATTTATGAATGCTGTTCAGAAAATTATTTTAAGAACATCTTTGAACGTACCGCACGCTTGCAATGTTAAATACTCTTTTTATTTCTTCTGTTGTTTAATTAACGTAGCAAATAAAGGTGGGCTTTGTCCTTATTGTAGACACATTGTTCTACGCTTTGTTCTGTGTGAAACGGCAGATTCTGTGTTGGGTCATAAGTGAATCTGGGAAAACTGTAAAATGCCAAAAGACGTTTAGAAGTATTGGTAGCATTTCAAAAAGCACTGATTCTGAAGTGTTCTGCAACGGAAGGTCTTTCTTTTAGGAAAGAATTGATTCAGTGTGGAGAAGTTTTGATTGGTGTATACCTCACAGTGTGCTCTTAATTTATAGTTTGTGTCTGGCAATTTCTGACTACTGCTTCCCTTTAGCAAATGATAGGAAATCTAACCAGCTGGAGGAGGCTGTATTGCGTACTGAGAGGTGGAAAGCTCTCTTGCTATCACTCACCAGAAGAAATTGAGGCTAAAGTGGAGCCAGCCCTGAGAGTTTCGATCAATAAGGTAAAAATGATAATGTGTAGCTTTTTCTGCTTGCTTGCGTTTTGGTGTTTGTTTTTGCTCTTAATTATTATTCCGAGGGAGGTTATTTTTGTTTTAAGATGCATACATTTGGGCTCCAAGCTGCTTGTATGCAAAAAGCTCTGTAGGTAGTGTGTCAGTGGGAAATGCTGCAGCAAAATTTCCAGTCACTGAAATTTCTTTGCAAGGGTGTTACATTTCTTAGCAGCAGATGTAAGATTCTTCTGTTGCACTAAACTGGTTAACATACAGGTAAAAAGGATGTTGTTTTCTTTAGGAAAAATGTGACTTGTTATATGACTGTTCCGTTTCCTGCAGCCCTTCAGCAACATTCTGGGAGGCTTTTGTCCTCAGCAAGGTGAAATTTTAACAAAAGCTTTTTGTTGTTTTATTTTATTCTGCCCCAGTCTTAATTAGAGGGAGGATTGGAAAATTGCTCAAAATATTTTAGTGTCTTAAAATAAGCTGCTTTTCTTAATACTGGTTTTGTACAGGGCACATAACTTTGGAAGTTCTGTTCTCTATGATGGTATTACTTCTGTTTTTCATAGTCTAATAGGCAATCTGGATTTAAACCTTAACATTGAAATTCTTCTACTTGACTAAAGATGCATTAAGTATTTAATTTTAAACAACTATTTATGTGTTCACTTTACGGATGTTATTGGAAGGACCTTCTAGAATGAAGAGCATTAGAGTGAACAGGTGCTTCTAAAAGCTGTTTCTGTGCAGTCATCAAGAGTTAGTGTCACATAAGGATGAGCAGAGGAATTTAATGTTGTTTGCAGTTGGCCTAGCTGGGTTCATCTTTCCTAAGCAGAAACACTTGGAAACTGTTAAGCATGGGTTGGTCTGGATTCTGGTGTTGCACTTCTGTGGCTGCTTGATGCCAGCACTGGCTCGAAAAGAAGCATCCCCCCCAGCCAGTCGCTTCCTCTGGCCGCTGTGTGCTTCATGCTGGGCAGGCAGTAGGGCAGCTGACTGATAAGCTGGACTAGGGAACTGAAGTGAGTTAAAATTAGCTTATCTTGGGGGGAGGAGGACGGCTGGCTTCAACCATGCTTCTCCTTAACGCAGTCTTTTATCTAGATCCCTACATGATCACATGAGTGCTCGTATGGTACAAGGAAGGAGCTAGGGCGAGACCGGTGCTGTATAGGGCCATAAAGTAACAAAGAACTGCTTCTGACAACAGCACTATCAGCTCTTGTTGGCTTTAAAGTTTCTCAAAAATATGATTCATTTTCACCTTGAGTAATTCTTCTTGTATATAACAAAACATTTAAGCTAGAGATAACAAGGTAACCTGCTTTTGTGCGCTAACATTTCACGTGCTAAGATTTAAATTGATACCTTAATTAAAAGCACACTTCTCCCAGTGTCTTGTATTCTAACAAAGCCATTTTTTTTCTTCCAGTTTACTTATTTACTTGTAAAAAAATGTTTTGACATGATACATACTTATACAATTTTAGTTGTACACCTCTTCAGTCACTTCTAATTGTGTCAACTGAACTTCAATGAAACTGTATTTTCCAGTTGTTCACAATATCTGTGGGGAAATGGTCAGGTTCAGTGAAACACGGAGTGACCACATCCGTATTTTAAAATGTGAAGGAAGTATTTTTGAAAATTGTCTGTCAGAATCTCTGTCTGTTCTTTCCTTAGGGGTTGCTGTTTTGGTCTGTATCCTTACTTTGCTTCTCCTTTTCAAATAACCATATTCTCCTAAGGGGTTTTACTTCTCTGAGTTACCAGCACACTTAGAATCTAAAATCCAGCTTTTAATGGGAGTCTGTCTGTATGTTGGCAGTTTACTCTTACAGGTAACGTACACAATGTACATAAATCATGTGTATTGCACCATTTTGCCAAAGTACCAAGCTGTTGGAAAATACGACCATGAATCCTTCTTTAATTCAAATTAAAGCCAGAAAGAAAACAAAGCAATTTAAAACATATTTGAATACTTTACTATTTAAACAGTTTCTCTTGAAAATAATGTAACGGCTGTGGATTTTCTGATTCGTTTGTTGTGAAACTTGTGACATAAATGAAAATGGGCTAATCATATGGGCTTACTGCTACGTGTTGTTACTGAAACAGCAATTTCAAAATCAAAGTTGAGATTGAAAATTAACTCTAGATGTTCTAACTAAAATCTCTTCTGGTTGCATCTGGTATTGTTACTTGTAATGTGAAGCTGATCCTCTCCATGTAATTGAAAGAGACTTTCTGGAAAGTAATCAAGTCATATGGATTTATGAGGAACTCTGGAAAATAATCATACTGATAGTCTTATTTCCCTTTCCTTTGAATTGAGACTTGAAGAAGCTATGAAGACCACCAGAGTCATTACTTTAACTTCAAATGCCTTCACTGCTACCACTGTGGCGCAATAATAGTTCTGCAGTTCCTATTATGCAAGTGTTACTATTATTGTTCCAGCTAAGTGTGATTATAACATATTATATTGCACAACTAAGTAGAGAAATTGTGTTTTCTCGAGCAAAGAAAATTAGCTGGAATCCAACTTGAACAAGAAATATTCCTAATGGACCAATTCCTAATATTTTCTTTCTGTTTCTTTGTTTGCTTTGCTTTGAAGTGAATGATAAAGGCTTTGCCTACACCTGGTAACTGGTGTATGTGCCAGCACTTCACACTTATTGCTCAGTATCCTGAATACATACATACCCTATTGTATCCTCTTCTAAATTATAGAACTTTCTCTGTGCATTGCATGCGGGAAGCTTCAGGAATTCTGGGACATGGCTTCTGGTTAACAGAGAACATAGCTGACATGATTTCCTTCCTGGCGAATTTTGCCAGCACGATCTTTGGTCTGGTGCCATGCGGCGCAGCAGGCGCAGAGCTATCGCTGTGCTGGTACTTGCTGTGGTGGCAAGCAGGATGAGGAACAAATGTCTGCAGCCTTCGGTTGCTAAGTTCTTGTTGGAACATGTTTTGGGCTCTAAGTCAGGTAGAGAAATTCATTGGAAAATGTAGCGATGGCTCCGGCAGCATAACTTCACAGGGGATCTTGCAGTATTTTTGGGAAACTGGGAAGTTTATCTTGGGACTGGAACAGAGGGTATCAAGTTCATGGCAAGGTGAACACTTAGGGAACACGCAATGCAAGCAATACTCACTACCTCTGTCAGGCAACTCCAGCACTGGTGAAGCAAGAGCAGACCTGCAAATCAGTGCTCTGTGTAGTGTACTTACGTCCCACTGGCTGGTTTAGATGAGCCTTCACAGGTGAAAATTTATAGGGAAATCAAAAATTAGTTAAATGTCTCCAGATATCTGGCATCTTCTGTCACGTTGCTCAACTTGCTTCTGCAATTGCTTGAAAAAGATGGTGGGTACGGGTAGGGAAAGCAGACACAGTGCCTGGATAGAACACGTGGACCTTGTAACACACATGCTCAAATGGAGTCACTAGGAAGCTATGCTTTATAGCTCCCTGGTGCTCCTCAGAGTGCTGGTTGGTCATACAGTAACATCACCTCCTTATCCTGCCTTTAAGTTGCTGCACTGAATTGAAGACAGCCATGATGACGCAGTGATCCTAACGTTACTCTTCCATATTATGCTTATCATCCTGCAAGTGCATGAATGTTATGGTGATACAAGCTCACAAAACAATGGAGATGGAAGGAGGAAATGTAGCTAACATGGTAGATTCAGACTTGCACTAATATTTTAAAAAGCCATAGTTTTACATTCATCAAACATTCCTGTTTGCCTTAAAACAATTTACAGCAGGAGCCAACAATTGTATTTTGTTTCCAATGTTGCTTTTATTTCTTGCCTTGTTTCTTGGTACTGCAATCACAAAGGAAGACTGTTATATGTAATTTGGTTTGTTTAATCTTAGAACAGATACACAGAACTGAATTTCTGACTTCTCAATATTTTTCTCAAGAACTGCAATTTGTATTGATGTCTTAAAATGATCTTTACAAACGCTGCTCCTCAGTGCTTCAGAACTGGCTCAGCAGTAAGGGGCTGCCTCAGCAATAAAACGCTTCTTCTCTCTTTTTTTGTTTTTGTTTAACTCTGCTTAGTAGATGAGCTTTCCAGATGAGCTCATCAGGCAAAACCTTTTTTGATTTGAAGGAGAAAGATATTGTACAATCAATGAATGTACAATAGAGAGCTTGGCTACACAGTTATCACACCAAAGCAGAAAAGACTGGATGCTTACCCATATCCTGGGCTCACTTATGAAACTTCAGCAGAGTGGATCTCCAGAAGAGATCCTTCCCCACTGGTAGCCAGCTCTTAAATAGGTCTAGGAGGGGTGCAGCTAGGCTCCACCCCTTCCAGCAGCGCAGGTGAATTGCCTTCACTGTGCTCCCATGGCTGACTCACTGCTCGCCTCAGGTGATCATCAGAGGTTCAGGCCGTGACTCAGCAGTGCCCATACAGATGTGTAAGTGAAGACTCATATTTACCTTATGCTAAAAGAAAAAAGTCATTTTCCCTATCTTCAAAGAAAATTAATCTTTTGCACATAGTCAGGATGTACAACTGCCCTCAGCCTCTCCGAAGTTTCTGAGCTTCCTCTGGGCTCAGCTCAGTTTTTCTTACTCCAACTGGCTGGTTGTTCTGGGCTTTACAGGAGTGGTAATGGAATTGGTTCCTCTGTCTGTGAGATCGAGGAATGCGGAGCAGTGCTATGGATAACATGATACTTTAAGGCAGTTTACTTTTTTATTTTTAAGAAGTGGGCTTGTGGTGTAATTTACCCAAGCTTGGCATATTCATCAGCCCATTACTGTAATGGCATCTCGTATCACTCTTTAAATATTCAAACATCAGGTATAGATTGTTGCTTGAGGATTTATCTCCTTTGAATAATAACGCAGTTATGGGATAAAACCTGGAGCAAACATCATTAAATAAACTTGTGTGTATGGTATGCTTGAAGTTCTTACCTGTCAAATGTTAATCTATTTGATTTAATTTTTTGCTGGTATCTATGGTTACCTGAGTTAATGGGACATAGAGCACTTATGGATGAATTACTTCATCTCCTATTTTTAGACAGAAGAATTTAAATGAGCATATCCATCAGATATGCTACAAGCAGCTGTTATGATTTCAAACAGTTACTGAAGTAATGCATTGAAAATCTGGGGAATATTCTTGAGAATAAGTTTTGTTTTCTGACGATCAGAACTAGACCTATCCCCATGGGTTCTCACGTGTAAACTTAATTTCTGTTGGTTTCTATTTGACATCTGCAGTGCAAGTCTGACATCTGGTTGAACGCTGCTGTAGTAGGGAAAGTGGCTGATCTGTCCCCACTGTATTTTAAGGTGTGTCCTCAATCTACTCAGACATTAGATTTGCTGCCCACCCAGCTGCTGAACACAGTGCTGGCTTTAGCTGTCAGCTTCCTTCCAAATGCAGAGCGCTCCCCAAGCCAGGGGACACCCTTGCATGGCACAAGGCCTCTGCATGTTCTCAGTGCGTGTTAGGCTGCTCCCTTTCCTTCCAGGCTCCAGCGCTGGCCAGTAAGGTGCTGCCTGGTTCCTTGGTGCAGGAACTCATCACCCCATTGAGATTTGGGCCGAGGCTGGGCTGCTCTCCTGGATGTGCTAGTGTTGTAACAGGTCTTTGCTTGCTTGGCCAGGCGGAAGTGTATGTGCAGAGATGTTGCGGGCGTTCTGCTTCTGTTTTTGTAAACAAAGTGGTGTTAATTACTCATTTGTTCACCGTGTTGTTGCAAACAGCAGTGTTGACTAGTTATTTTCTGGAAAAAACTTCTGTTGTGTTTTGTGAGACTTCTAAAATTTTTCAGTGTCTTACACATGAAACCTATGTTTTTTTTTCACTCAATGACAAGTGCTACTTTTTATGGTAGTAAAGGCATAACAAAGAAACCAGATGCAGTTTTATTTTTGTAGTACGTAGTCTGGCTGATAAAATCAGTTGAACTATGTCCCTGAACAGAGGGGATAACCTTGGCTGTAACAGCACTGCTGCATATTTCTGATATTAGTTGAATGTTTGAAGTAACGATTCATTAGTTCTGAATGATTTATGCTGCATTTGTCATTGTTTTTAATTATTTATATTGCCCTAAATAAGGCAAAACTAAATTCTGAAATGACAAATGTTTGGTATTACAGCAAAACTTTTTTTCATGTTGGAAATGGTTTTAAGTTGAGAGAGGGAAGATCTAGGTTGGATGTAAGGGGAAATTCTTTACAGAGAGAGTGGTGAGGTGCTGGAACAGCTGCCCAGAGAGGTTGTGGATGCCCCATCCTTAGAGGTGTTCAAGGCCAGGCTGGATGGGGCCCTGGGCAACCTGGTGTAGCATTAAGTGGGGAGGTTTGTGGCCCTGCATGTAGCAGGGGGGTTGGAGGTTCATGATCCTGGAGGTCCCTTCCAACCTTGGCCATTTTGTGAAACTTGTTCAGTGGAACTGTATGAATAGCTTAAAATGACAGAGGCCTTTCCCAACCTTAATGATTCTAAGATCGAGTCCAACCATGAGCCCATCTCCACCACGTCCCCAGGTGCCCCCTCCACAAGTTTCTGGAACACCTTCAGGGCTGGTGAGCCCACTGCCTCTCTGGGCAGCCTGTGCCAATACTGCATCACTCTTTCTGAGAAGATATTTTTCCTCATATCCAACATGAACCTCCCCTGGTGCAACTTACAGCCATCCTGAACTTTCTTAGCACTCTTGACAACTTCTACAAATGCTCCTTTAAATGGAGACATGATGAGTATCTGAATAAATTTCCTTTTGCAGTTGCCTTTGCCCTGAATGTCCTGAGTCACTGAAATTCAAGTAAAATACATACATTCAATAAGAATAAAAAATTGCAAGATGTGTAGTAGGAGACCTAACTGTGAAAAAGTGATTGTCCAGATGAAGATTTTGGAGAAAAAGAGGTGCTTGCTATTGTTCTAGGTTTTTCACCCAACAACTGTGAAAAGTGATGCATGAGAACAGCTGGTGAAAGTAGTGGGAGGGGAATCACAGAATGTACATTCTGTAATTACAGTAATTCTGTTCCATTCTTTTTTTTCATATATTGTATCATTTAAATTGTTGTGTGAGAAAATACTTTTGTAAGCAATTCCTGACCTTAGTTCCTTTTTCCCTTTTTTTTTTAATTGGAGATTAATCTGAATTAGGTAGGAAGGCCAAATTATACTCCCATTATGCTGTCACTGGCCATAGTCTTGTAGGTGTTGAGCTGAGGCAATAACTCATTACCACAGTTTGTCATTTTTAGGAAACCAGAATTCAATCTGTGGATAAAGACTCCAAAAGAAGAACCAATAGCTTTTCTGTTATCAACCCCCTGCCTGGAGAGGCTGCGACTCAACTTTTTGCTACTGACAGTAGGGAAGAGCTTCAGAAGTGGACGGAGGCTTTCTGGCAGCACTTCTATGATCTGAGTAAGTAAGCAAGCAGTGCTAGCATTGCGCCCTTCCTGAAGGATGTTATGTAACATCAAAGGAATCTTTGAACAATTTCAATCACAATTGCCTCATAATCCTTTGTTTGCAACGATGGGAAGAAAAATGTTCTTTGGAATAGTATTAGGTGGTGGTCATAGCTATTGGGAGACAAATATCCGCATGTTCAGTCTGGCTTTTTGCAGGAAACAAGAAATAACTGTGTCCACAAATCCAAAGTAACTTGGCCTCTTTTAGCAGCATTCTAGATGATTTTTAAAGGACTAATAAACTCTCACTATCTCTTCCTCCACTTAGCTGAGTGGGGCTCCTTCTGCCTGCACACCCTTATCAGGTCTGTTGGTTTTGTGAGATTCTGCAAGACTGAAACCTTTGGGCCTGGAAGCCTTAATGGGAAGCAGTGAAGATGCAGGATCCATCTGGGGCCTTGGCAAGGATTCAGATTCAGCCAGTCCTTGCGAGTAGAAACATGTATATTCCTTACCCAGCAGTATTATGTATTAATTAAGTTGCAGTTTGCTGTGTTAAGGATTGATTTTGCTGGTAATTCTCAGGTTTTGGTATGGCACCCCTTGCCACAAGGGAATTTGCTCACCTAGCCACAGTCCCATCCATTCATGCAAACACACACTGCCTACTGGAAACTGGTGACAGCTGTAACATGATGCAAGTGAGGTAAATTGATACCCTGAATTTTTTATTTTCCATGTTAAAATGTTTGAAGATCTTCAGTTTGGTTTGGGCTTTACTTTCTCCAGTAAGCTGTCTTAATGACCTTGGTAACCTCTGTAACAAAGCTGTTCTTACAGCAAGAAACGAGTTTCTTCTCGTATAAGACAGCAAAATGGTTTTCAGGTAGCATACCATGGTTCTTGTTTAACACTATGTATTAACTATGTATTAACTATGTATTAACTATAGAAACTATACAGACTAATTTGTCTTCATCTTTTTCCTCTGCTTTAGTAGTTTGACTCATAGGTTTACTAGGAGCAGAGAACAGCTGACAGTTATTAAGCTGTCACTGACAAAATACAGTTGAATCCTGACAGTCACTTTCACCAGGGCAGAAAACAGAACCAGCTCAATTGATGAAATGCCAGTGTTTAATCAGAGGCCACACCGAACAAATCAGTGAACAGAGGTTTTCTTATGTGGGTGTTGTAGTTTGTAGTTCTACTCCTTTTTCTCTGAGCTACAAGAAGAGGTTTTATCAATTACAGAAAACACCAAGCAAAAACTAGGGCATCTTCTTTAAATTAGCTGTGGAGTGGGGTAAAAGAACTACTACTTATTCATTATAGATAGAATACCCATAGATTTTTTTAAAGACATTTTCCTTAGGTACAGAAAAAATGGGTCACTTACCATTTAAATACCTTTTTTTTTTTTTTTTCTTCAGTGGTTCTAAAAAATCTCTTAAAACTAATGTGCTTGGAAAACTTGGAATGATTGGTATGAACAAAGTAATTTTACTGTGCCTTGTTTTCCTTAAGGTCAAAATCTATTAATAGTGAAAAGAGATTTCCTTGTCTGCTGGCAGATAAAAGGCGAGTTACCCTTTATGAAAGACAAAACTGTTCCTTTACTATAGTGGTTGTGTAACACCCAGCTTGCAGTATGTTGATAAGTTATGATTTTTTTTCTGGTGAATTTATACTGGGTTGGGGTTTGAAGGCAAATTATGATATTTAATCATTATGGTATAACAGTACTGTTGGGATGCTTCAATTAAAGGTGGTAGCTCATAACTTCTGTGCTAAAAGTCGTAATTAATTAAAAGTTGAAAATACTGAAAATGCATCCTGAGCATTCCTGCTAAGTAAAAGTAGATGCTTACTGTTTGGTATTGCTTTGGAGATGGGTCGTGTTAGGAAACGAATGACTTCGGTTTTTTCAGGCTGAAGTGCTGAAGTTCCAATCACTGTTCTCTTTTCTCTCTCAGGCCAGTGGAAACATTGCTGTGAAGAACTTATGAAAATTGAGATTATGTCACCACGGAAACCACCTTTGTTCTTGACTAAAGAAGCGACCTCTGTCTACCATGATATGAGTGAGTGGGATTTGTCTTTTCAAGTTGCAGGGTAACAGAAACAACATTGTCTGCATTGAGATGGCTTCTGGTGTTGATGTTGAAACGCTGAGTTTTTCAAGGGCAACTGAGACAATGAAAGAGCAACATAATTGCATACCAAGGAGTTCATGTTAAATCTGAATTTGTAATTGCACCATTTTATTTATTTATTTATTTATTTAACCTTGAACCAGAAAATCTGTGATCTGAACTGTAAATAGGGAGACCTGAACACGAGAAACAAAGCCACCACTAGAAATAAATGCTCACTGTGCGAGTAGTATAAAGCACAAGGAATGTAAAGGCAAAATGGTCTCATCTAAAAAATTAAAATTATTTAAAAATTAAAAAATGAAATAAAAATTAATTTGCTCTTCTTAACACTACTTTAAGGCTTACCTAACTTAACTTACCTGCTATTTTTTCTTAATAATGTTGAAAAATATGCTCAGAAAATACCTGGATTGTATGTAAGACTTAGTTTTGCAGAGCAAAATAGTTTGCAACAGGATTATTTTAATAGTTTCATTACAGAAATAATATTTACTGACTAGAAAAAGTAGGTCACTGTTTTAATGGATCTAATGCAGTAATGGCTGAAAAACACTGTGCGGTATAAATGCCTGACTGCTTGCTGCTTGAGACTGGAATTGTGAAGATGCTCAAAATGCCGTGTGGGTCATCGAGCTCCTGTGCATCAGAGCAGCCAGCAGTCACAATACTACCTCAGCTGTGAACACAGAGCGGGAAGGCAGTAAATCAACTATACAGAAGTTCTATGAAGGTAATGCTGTAGTATAATTCTGCTGATGCTCAAATATATCAGTGTGGAGCAGAACACAACCTCTGCTTCATTCTTAATATACCAGTGTTTTTCTGCTTATTGACAGTATTCATAGGTAAAATCCTGTGTTTAAAATCCTTAACGTGCGACCTGAAATAGAAAAGATATTGCTTCTGTTTTAAAGGCTAGCATTATTGTGGTCTACCTAGAAAATTCAATATGAGAGATCAGAAATGGGGCAAGAGTCTTAAAGCACATAAAGAAAAATGGTATATGCAAAGACGTTCAATTTTCTGCAGGCTGGAGGCACAGGAATATTTAGTCATACATTTTTCCATGCACCTGGTGTAAAATGAAAATTTCAAAGTGCTGTACAGCAAAATATATCTATTATGAAGATTGTGTCTCTGTGTGTGTGCATATATATGTATGTATGTCTATATATATATTTGTAATTTTTTTTCAGCTTTTGCTTGGAAAGAAGGATCAATTCATATTCTGTTCTCTCAACACCAGCTGTCATGAAAACAGTTCTCTCCTGTCCCCCAGCTTTCTCTTATGAAAGCATATGTAATCTTTTCCATTTCTTCCATTAATACGCTTAATAGCAGTCCAGGTTTCATGAGACATGGTTAATACAGTTTTGTATTCTGAACAGTAATAAAATAGAGAGGAGTAAAGTCATGGGTAGCATTTTAATCTGAGTTAATTGCTGTCCCTTAAAATTACAGGCATTGATTCTCCAGTGAAACATGAGGGCTTAGCTGATATCACACAAAGAAAAATTGAAGAGAGTGATGGTGAGTTCCTGCTTTGCCAGCAAAAAGAGCCTGCGTCTTCCTTATGGGCTTCACTCTTTGATGGATCTCACGAGATGGTTGTTCAGAAAAATATGCATACTGCAAGTCCTAATGATGGCAGAGGGAAGAAAAGAAGAGCTCCACCTCCACCCTCTGATAAACCAGCGTACAATGCAAAAGCACGTGGGAACGCAGAGGAACGGGACAAGGAGAACTGGGAGAGGCCTGATGGCACATCTTGCAGTTCTTTAGATTCAGTGTTATCTATGGAAACACAACAATTGCAGGCACCCGCTGCTGCTCCTCGCAGAATCTGTCCTTGTAGGAAAAACAGTTTGGCTGACCATAGGAATCCCATGTCTTTGGTTACTAAAACAGAGTCTGAAACCAAACCGGTACCAACCCCGAGACAGAAATGCATCACAGAAGTGCTAGACCCTAGGTCACGGTTACAGCCACAGACTTAATTACTGGCTTAGAAAATTCCCTGGAATTTTAAGTTCTTCAGCCTTATACTGCAACTTCTGAGTGAAAATTAGTATTGGCATATAGTTTCTAAATACTGAGGCTAAAGCCTTGTTGCTTGGTTGCTTTGTTGTTTTGTTTCTCTGTTTTTGGTCTTTTATCTAGAACACTACTACTAGCTGCATTATTCATTTACTTGTTATTGCTAACATCTGAATAATTACACAAATAATGGGGAAGGGTTTATCTCTATCTCAAATAATGATGCTATTTTTGAAACAATGTTTCAGTACTTTTCCCTTGAAAAACTCAGTATTCAGGGTATCTCAGTGTCTGTGCTGCAGGGATTTTACTGTGGGCATTTCCCAGTCCCTCTGCTTATCCCGTCTGCAGCTCCTTAAACTGATTCAACAGGGAATTTCAGATATTCAACACCAGTCTCCCAGAACTGATTTTCCTGTGCTTCGTGCTTGGTTTCACCTGAAATATTTCCATATCTCTCTCAATGTTTAAGAACTGCTGCTTGTAAGATAATGTGCTGTGAACAGTTACTGCACACTTCTGAATGGCTCTGGATGAGTTTCTGAAGCAGTTCTACCCATGTAACGGGATCTCTGTGGTCCTCTGTGCTGCATGCACGTCTGAATGGACTGCGTCTGTCTGCGTACGAACAAGAATGGAATCCATCAGTATGGTTTACTTTGGACTAACACAAACATGTCAAAGCAGTACTGCCTATGAATACCTATTTGGGATTTTTTTTTTTATCTTTTTTTTTTTTGATGAATGAGGCTTTGTAGCATCACTCCTCCTTCACGGAACTTCTCAGCTGTTCCTTGTAGATAGCTTTTTGTAGAGGTGACGGCATTACTGGTAAACAAATAGGTTTTTTATTTCCCCACTCATTTTTAAAAAAGAGAACAAATTCCTCAGTTGAAAATATTGAACTCTGATGTTCTTATGTCACCATTCACCATTTTTATAAGAAGTGTGGGTTATTATGGTTCCTGTGGCACCTGCAAAAAATCTATTTATGCAGAAAAGATTCCTTTTTCCTGAATCAACAGCTTAAATACCCAGCCCTTTCCTTGCTTGATGCGTTTCTCTCAGAAGCTGGAACTCAGCTAGGAGCAAAGGTCTGCTTGCAGATTTTCCTCTAGAGCCTTAGTATTCAGACTTGTGTTGAGTCATATCAGCAACTGTATACATACACTTCTTTTTTTTTTTTTTTTTTTTGAAAGTACAGATGGCTTTGGGAGCTTTACCATTTCTCTGGAAGGTATTGTGTGCGTGGCTGGTTAGTTTGTTTATCTATTTTTTGTCTTTTGCTAAGCTCTTGCTATACAGCTGTAAAGGTATCTGCTGCATTTCCTCAGTAGTTCATTGGCTGTTTGGGACGGAATTTGATGGGCAGGTTTCATTTACAAATCCCTTGGTGGGATTAGAACCCTCTGTTTAAGAAATGTCATTGTTCGTTCTTCATTTAATCACATTCCATTTTCCCTTGGAAACAGCCATAATAATTCTTACAACAAATCGTGCTGTTACTTAAGTGGATGGTTTGTGAATGGTTTATAAATAGGAACAGAAAAACTGAAGAATAACGATGTGATTATGTAAATTAGACACAGTCACTAAGTGGACTGTGCAATTCTGAACAAGAAATAGGGAAAAATAAACACAGGGGAAAGAAGGTGCAGCTGCAGATTATTTAGCTTTAAATCTAGCATTAAATGTAACTCTCCTATGAAAAAAAAAGAATATCTTTTTTCGTGGTAACCCCCTTCCAATTAGTTGCTATATTTCAAAATACATCTCTCAAATATACGAGGCAAGAAGACAACATAACGAGAATTCATTTTTTAATTCAACAGGCCATTGAATTTCAATGAGCAGTTTCCCTGTTAAATTCAGGAGCTTTGTTTTGAACTACAACATACATATTTTAGGCAGGCATTTAATATTAAATTCTTCAAGTGACGAGCATTCGCCCATCCCTCCTGTTGCAATAGTTAATTACCTCAGGTACGTTTTTCACTTGATTTTTCTATTTGCATTTGTAGCTCCAGCTTAAGTTATTTTGGTCTTTTTATGCCTTTGATTGCTTATATTGATCTCTGTAGTATCAGCTTTTCTAATTGCTTGTGTGTAGCTATAAATCATGATTATGTCCCTTTTAACCTTTTCTCTGATGAGATATACTGAATTCCTTAACTTTCCTATGGAAATGAATGCTATCCAAGACTAATTCATCTTCACGTTCTTCTCTGTACTTCTCACATATTTAAATGTTTCTGTGTGACCTCTGAATGAGATGCTACGTGTCAACAGTGATCCAGCAGGACTATACAGACATAGTGTGATCTTCTTACTCTGATAAATACCTCCCTACCCTATTTCCACAGAAATCACATTATCCTTCTTTTTGCAGAAGCATTACCTTGGATGCTGACTTTTACGGCTCAGGTCCTCTTCAGAGTCTCTTTCTAGAATGTGGTACTTCGTCCCCTTATTATCCTAACGTATTTTTTCTTGGAAGTATACACTGTATTTTACCAGCCTTAAAATACCGCTTATGAAGCGATCCAGATTGCTGTGTGTAAGTGACCTGTCCCCATTCTTTACTACTCCAGCAGCCTGCATGTCCTTTGCAAATTTATTGCAAGTGATTTTTACAGTTTCTTCCAGATCATTGATTTTTAAAATTGAATGCAAGGCAAGGTTTGTAGAAAGAGGTGATAAGTTTTTATTAGATCGGTGACATGGGTGGGGGTGGGGAAAAGCAAACAGGCCATTGAGTTCATGTCTCTTTTTTCCAAGAGCCTTTAAAAACTGAATAAGACGGAAATTCAGGGCAAGCCTCCATGCATCCTGCTGATTCCCTACGAATACTGCATTTTGAAATTAGTTATCTTTGAAATTAGTTATCTTTGAAATTAGTTATCTGTTTTCAGCGCAACAGTCTGTATTGATCTTTATCTGTGACGGGTATTTTAGAGAAATGAATGTACGTCTGGTGTGCGCCGGGTGCCCCGGGGTCCTAAGGATAACACTTCAGTGCAGGTGTTTTTGTAAGCTCAGCTTACTGGATCAAAGCAAAAAATGTAGCCTGTTGTCTGAGACCTCTTCTCCATGAGGTTGTGTCGACTGACATACACTCTATCCCTGAGTTAGTCTCATACCATCCATTTCACTGCATTGCCCTGATCACCGTAAGCAAATGAGGCCATTAATTACCCTGATCATCCTCTTTCCGCACAACAGTATTGTTCTTGCAGTCCTGCGAAATGTCATGACACTGCTGAGACTTGTTAAACTAATTACATGTTTAGGCTCCTACAGCTGGAAATGTTTCTGCTACCGAATGTAGTTTCTGCTATTTTAAGCAACCAATATATAATCCCTGTTATGAAGCATCAGTTGACTTCAGGTTTTAATATTTATTGTACTGACTTAGTCTTTTTTCTTTTTTTTTCCCCTCGTGTTGCCTCTTATTACTGCCTTCTCATCTTCTGTTCAGCAGGCTGCTTTCACTGATTAAAAACTGCAGGCTACCAGTGAGCGTTGATCTCAGCAATACAATAAAGTCAGTTCTAGGGAAGAGATTTGTACTCTGCTTTTGTCTACTCAAAAGAACATAAATAAAAGTAATAAAGCCAGCAAATTCTAGGAGTATAATTACAAGATATATCTGTGAGGAAAACTTAATTTTTTTTTGGCTTTTCCACGCGGTGACAAATTATAATATTTCACTAAGACATTGGTCCCCTTCTAATCATTAAAAGACTTGTTCAGGAATTAGAACTTCTCCATTGTTTTTTGCCTCAAGTGTGCCTGACTGTAACAAGGGCGAAAATTCAGCAGAACTCAATAGCTGAGTCGTTTTACTAGCATGTACAGACAGTGCAGAAATAGGAACTAATTCACAAAGGGTGAAGGGAAGTCAGGCAGCCTTCTGCTGAGGTGAGGCTGGGTAAGGCAGCATGAGACCAGTGGCGTCTCCTGGCCCTTGCAGCCCAGGTATTTGCCTCTCACAGCTGTGCAGGCAAACCAGTGCACTGCTGCCTTGTGGTGGAGTCTGGAGCAAAATAGTGTTCTTGCAGAGACACTGCACTGCTAGTGAACTGCCCCACCTGCCTACTGTTGTGCAGCAAAGATGTTGGTAGCTTTGTGCATCTTGTTCATTTGCTGCTTCTGAGCTGCACTGATATGCTGCTTTTGTGAAGAACACGTCAAGCTTGCTCTGAAATTTGTCCTGCTTGTTCTCTGCTGGAATTAATTAATTTCTGCTTAAAAGCAATTAAGTAGTGAGATTGCAGCCTTGAAGTATAGCGAAGACAACAGCCAACCTTTCTGTTAGGAAGCACGGTTTAAAAGCTAGTCCAAACTTGAATGTGAATTTCACGTAGCACGAACAACTTCTGCAGTGCTGCCTGCACAAGGCCTTGATTTAGCAACTTTTTAGATGGTACTTTGTGTTTTGTGCTGTTTACTTGGTCTTGCAATTCTGAAGACTTTAGCTTAAATGTTTACATTTTTACATTTGTAATTTTTTTTTTCTGTAGTAATGGTTATAAGTAGTTATTTTTATGGTACTTTTTACATATCTTAAAAATACTGTCCTAGTATTCAGAATTGATTTGTAATTAATTACAGGAAACGAATGTATTGTGAAATATTGGAACAGGAATTCTAATACTGTGCTGCAAACGTACTGTATTTGGATTGAAATTAAAGATGCTTTTAGAGAAAAAGAGTTTCAGTGTCATTTCCTTCAGTCCTAGAATTCCATAAACTTTTTTTCATGGCTGGTGGCTACTGTCCAATCAGAGGACCTGTGACTACCTTCAAAGAGCTCGCATCCCACCCTGACTATTGAGCTTGGCTTCCAGCTACTGGGGGCAGCAGCAAACAGCACTGCTCTTGGTTTTATTAACAGAAGGGAAGAAAGTATTTGGCAGTGTGCATTACTTGCTCAACTAGTAGTGCAGTGTATCCAGGAGACGTGTGTGTGCTCTGCCAACATCACAAACACCATTCTTTTTTTTCCCCTTGCTTTGGGCAATCTTATAGTGACTCCTGTTCTTGCTGGACAGAGCTCAGAGCAATTCTGCTTGCTTAAAGCTAACTTCTGCTCAAGTGAGGTATACTTTTAATTATCGTAAAAGAACTGTAATAAACATAGAGGGAGTTGTTAGATGTTTTAATTGTAGACTATTTGACTGATTTATGAATCTGTGAAAAAAACAGTATGATTGATAATTGCAAGGCAAGCCAACGCTGCTGAGTGTTTTAATGAAGATTGTCATACAGCTAATGCTGCAGTTTGCTTTAAGCAATGGTAGAAAAATCAGATATGATGATCTTTTCACATACCAGTGCCAAACGGTTATACTGTGATCTTTCCATATGTGTAGTTATAGATTCACAGAAAAATCTGTTTGTGAGACATTAAAATGCTCTTCATAGTGAAAAAGCAATTTTTCAACATGTTTAGATCAAGAAAGCTTTTTAAGTGTTCTTAATGTACCTTCCCAAAGGGAGAAAATTCATAACTAGTGAAGCATCTTTCACTCCATTGTGGCTTGTCTTCAGATTTCTGTAACTTTCACAGTGGGGACAAGAGAGTACCAAAAAGAGAGGATTTTCTTTTCAAACTTTTACATTTGTACATTTTCTTTCTGAGAGGCAGTCAATTAGAATCTCTCACCTGTGGTTGGGGTTTGTTTCATCACTGGGTATGAAGGTCGTTCCAAAATATATCAAGGACTTCACATTGTTTTCTTTACCCTGAAGGCAAATGGCACCAGTCTTTTCCATCTCTCTTTGGGTTATATGTTCAATTTTCTGATCAGTGTACGTTTCAAAATTCCACGCACATCTTGATTATTTGGTGCCCAGAGCTGAATACACTTTAGCTGAGGGGTACTCTTGGGTTGCAAGAGCTCCATGTTATGCAAAGTACTGTCTATGCCTTAGCTGCTCTTTCCACCTTAGTGAAAAACAAATGTTTCCATTGATCTATGGCTGGAATCAATACTTCTTAAATAAAGACCTTAGGAAAGAAAAGAGTTTCCTAGCTCTGCTCTAGTGAACTTAACATCTGACTTTCAAATTTCTCAACGGCCGGAAAAATATGAATGCGAAACTGTCACACGTAAGATGCTTTGTCCATACAACATTTGTTTTTCAGATGGTAGCAGCTGCTGTACTTCTTTTGTTTTTGCGTGATCATTATTCTTTAGTCCCTCACGGCTGTACACAAGAGTTGAGAGTATTTAAAATAAACTGAAAGCAACTTACTGGGCCTTCTCATGATGTGAATGTATCAGCTGGAGTCACGAGAGCTGGTGTACAGAACTGCCAGACTCAGCCTGCTGATCTGGTCGGTAGGAAAATCTGGTGCTGGATGCAGCTGCTTTGATGATATCGTGGGAATACGTTTTCTCTTGGCCGCTCCAGGGAAGCACATCATGTGGAGAAGAAAGGGATGGGAATGAGCATGGTGTGGACATCTTTTCTCACACTGATCTGAATTCAGGTGCTGCAGGTTTGCCTAGGGAGTCAGGACGGACAATTCAAACAGGAATTTCACAGTCGGAGAGCACGGCACCCTTTGTATAAAGAAGTTACCTTTGGGTGGCTTTCTGTTCAGGCCTTTGTTGGACCCCTGGCTACTCTTGCTGCAGATCGGTCATGTCACAATGTATCTGTCACTGGCTCCAGGCACCCAGAGCAGTTCTCCCCCTTGCATTGCAGTAAGAGCCCCTAAGGGATGCATCAAAGCATCCCTTTGGTTGGTGAGGAGGTGCAAGGGTTTTAGTAATTTTCATTATTTTAATAAGAGTTTTTGTGTTTAATACATGACAACTTGTTTGTGACCTCATGAGAAAGTTTTTAAAATATCTGGTTGGCTGTTACTCTTCAATGAAAACCAGTCTGCTTTCTTCAGACTAACTCTGTTTTATCCCAGTGCCTGCTGTTGCCACTTACCACTATAGACCAACACACACTTTTCTATTTCCCCATTAAAGTAACGGTATAATTCCTTGGTAAGTAAAGTTGGTTAATTTCCAAGCACTAATGCATAGCCCACTATTTACATTTTTTTGTAGGAATAAAACAGAACAACTGTTCACTGTTACTCTTATAGCCTGCTAGACTGAAGTTTATTTACTTGCCTTTTTCTACATTTGTCCTTAAGCAGGGCAAATTCTGTCACCTATACCTGCAAAATGCAATTAAAAAATACCACCAATTATTGTCAGGCTCCATCTATATGCTATTCAGGCACTGAAGACAGCCAAAGGGTTAATCAAGAGGAAGAATCTTACTTGAATCAGAGTACAGAGTTCCAAGGGTATTTGTTCAGTTCAGGCAGTTGGCCACATAGAGCAAGAGCAATGCAAGGTCACAGCTCCTCAGATTCTCCTGTAAATGGAGACAATGACAGCAGCTTCCATCGCACTTTTTGAGGCGCTCCTTAGCGATGCCACATTTGGTGTGGCAGCGTGATGCTCCGTCACCAGGACTGAAACAGCACCAGGCGCACAGGCTCTCCTGAGCTGGGAGTGTGCAGTGGCTGTGTAACTGAGGGGCTGGGGGTGGGCTGTCGCTGTCACTGCTAGCATTTCCCTGCATTAGCAAGGCTTTGATGCAGCACAGCTAGAATGCCAGTGCTCCCACTACAGCTCTTCCCCAGCACTTGAGAGCTTCAGCCCTCGTGGCCTGGGACACTGAACTGCAGCTGCACTCACCTCCTGGTTCCCACTGCTTATTTATCTCCTGGTGGCACTGGTCATGCAAAGATTTCCTCTCCCATTTGGACTCCTGCTGTACTATTTCAGCATAACCCCATGTCCAACAGGCCTGCGTTTTCCACTTATTTCAAACTAATAAAAAAAGAAAGTAAATTCATTCTTTCCTAGAAAGAGCTAGCACAAAGCAGTGTTAGAGGAATGCTGTGGGAGATACACACTGTGACTGCTGTTGCCACTGCTGCTTCTAAGTTAGGGCTACTACCTTTCTCTGCAGCTCTGGGCTCCATTTTCATCTCAAACTTCCTCCAACTTTCTTCCCTGCCCTTCCTCAGACTCCAAAAGTGACTCAGGGTGGAGGAAAGCTTTATAAGGAGAAAGAGTTGAAGTTTTCATTTCTACAGCAGTTAACTGAATAAAAGTATTTTTAACATAGGAACAAGGCAGATTTGGAAGATGACTGTATGAGTTCCATATGACCCACAGCAACCAAAACAGGAAATTTTCAGAAAAGCCATCTGACATTTTCACTGCCTTTCAGCCTACTGAGCAACTTCTTCAGCTTGTTGTAGTGACAGTATTCAAAGATTATCCTGTCCGTCCTCGTACTTCTGTTCTGAAGCCCCTTACAACAAAAGTTTTGAACATTTGAGCTCTCCTTCCCTTTTGGTGTCCTGTAGGAGTCAGTCCTTTCTGGTAGGAACATACTGCACCCTCAGCTGGCTTCTGAAGTGTGTGGTGATGTGGCAGCCAAAGGATGGCTCCTTTCAGCCATGGAGCAGTTTGGACCTGCCTCATCTGACACACCACAAGAGCAGCAGTTACACAGGCGAACACCTTTCCTGTGTCACCCCACAGGCACAGGAGCTGAAGAAAGATCAGAGCTTCTGATCCCAGTACTTAAGTGAAAGTGGGGCAGCAATCCCATTATTTTCTCTGGCCGTATTCCCACAGAAGTATCCCTCAAGAGCTCAAGCCAGAGGTGGTGCCCTGGGCACGCAGCCAGACGTACTCCCTCCTGTCCACCCAGAGCATCCCCGCACACCCACAGCACATCCCAGGCACACCGCTTGCTCTGCCTCGTGTCCCGCTCCAACGCAAACAGTCTGAAGTGCTCTGCAAACACCCAGCCTCACAATACCCCTACTTCATTTATTGTACGGCAGGAAAAGCAGCCCGCAGAGGTTTACGTGTATGAAACATCCTTGCATCAGCCTGTATAGTGATATTAAGGCCTGATCATGCTTGTTTGCTTTAAGCAGCATTCGCATCCTGCCATCAAATCAGATATAAATTCTGGTTCTGACAAACTAAAGCAAACAAGCTTTTCCACGGCTCCCTTCTCTGCCCAGCCCGGGTCTCAAGGTGTGATGCTCATTTTGTACTCCCCTGGAACACGGCTGTGGCTGACAAAGCCAGATTCCCCTCCAACATTTCCATTCATGCATTCTGTCAAACCGCATTTTCTTTGATTTTATCAAGATCTTCTTGACTGTGATCTTCAAAGCAATTAATTCAATGTTCCATGATTGCAGCTGCTGAATAATTGTTTGTTAGAGTATTTTCTTTCCCAGGCAAGAGATGTAAAATAGTTGCTCTCCTCAATAAACAACTTGTCAAATGTGATTAGTTAATGGACCCGTAATCACGGAATAGCATGAAGGTAAGGATTTGGTAAGTGCTATGTGAAAGTGCATATTTAAATTAAAGCTATAGGAGAAGATTTTCCCATAGGAAATCTTGCTGTCAATGCTGAAATAGGCTATTTACCATTCATAATGGTTAACTATAGATCATTAATTAAAGAAAACAAGAGATTAGCCACCAAGCATTTCGAATTAAAGATGCATTGATTGTCTGAGTGACTTTAAAGTTGATATGGGAGATCAGGTTAGTGCACAGGTCCCCATGCCTGAGCTGGACTTACTGCATAACTGATACGCAGATGTAAAAGCCCGTCAGAATTAGGGTCAGGAGCTGCCATC